TCTCCTGTGAAGCCATCTGGTCCTGGGCTTTTGTTTGTTGGAAGATTTTTAATCACAGCTTAAATTTCAGTGCCTGTGACTGGTCTCTTCATATTTTCTATTTCTTCCTGCTTCAGTCTTGGAAGGTTGTGCATTTCTAAGAAAGTGTCCATTTCTTCCAGGTTGCCCATTTTATTGGCATATAGTTGCTTGTAGTAATCTCTCATGATCCTTTGTATTTCTGCAGTGTCAGTTGTTACTTCTCCTTTTTCATTTCTAATTCTATTGATTTGAGTCTTCTCCCTTTTTTCCTTGATAAGTCTGGCTAATGGTTGATCAATTTTGTTTATCTTCTCAAAGAACCAGCTTTTAGTTTTATTGATCTTTGCTATTGTTTCCTTCATTTCTTTTTCATTTCTTTCTGATCTGATTTTTATGATTTCTTTCCTTCTGTTAGCATTGGGGTTGTTTTATTCTTCTTTCTCTAATTACTTTAGGTGTAAGGTTAAGTTGTTTATTTGAGATGTTTCTTGTTTCTTAAGGTAGGATTTTATTGCTATAAACTTCCCTCTTTGAACTGCTTTCACTGCATTCCATAGGTTTTGGGTCGTTGTGTTTTCATTGTCATTTGTTTCTAGGTATTTTTTGATTTCCTCTTTGATTTCTTCAGTGATCTCTTGGTTATTAAGTAGTGTGTTGTTTAGCCTCCATGTGTTTGTATTTCTTACAGATTTTTTCCTATAATTGATATCTTGTCTCATAGCGTTGTGGTCAGAAATGATACTTGATACGATTTCAATTTTCTTAAATTTACCAAGGCTTGATTTGTGACCCAAGATATGATCTATCCTGGAGAATGTTCTGTGAGCACTTGAGAAGAATGTGTATTCTGTTGTTTCTGGATGGAATGTCCTATAAATATCAATTAAGTCCATGTTGTTTAATGTATCATTTAAAGGTTGTGTTTCCTTGTTCATTTTCACTTTGGATTATCTGTCCATTGGTGAAAGTGCAGTGTTAAAGTCCCCTACTATGATTGTGTTGCTGTCAATTTCCCCTTTTATGGCTGTTAGTATTTGCCTTATGTATTGAGGTGTTCCTATGTTGGGTGCATAAATATTTACAATTGTTATATCTTCTTCTTGGATAGATCCTTGATCATTATGTAGTGTCCTTCTTTGTCTCTTGTAATAGTCTTTGTTTTAAAGTCTCTTTTGTCTGATACGAGAATTCCTACTCCAGATTCCTTTTGATTTCCATTTGCATGGAATATCGTTTTCCATCCCCTCACTTTCAGTCTGTATGTGCCCCTAGGTCTGAAATGGGTCTCTTGTAGACAGCATATATATGGGTATTGTTTTTTTATCCACTCATCCAGTCCATGTCTTTTGGTTGGAGCATTTAAACCATTTACATTTAAGGTAATTATCGATATGTATGTTCCTATTACCATTTTCTTAATTGTTTTGGGTTTATTATTGTAGGTCTTTTACTTCTCTTGTGTTTCCTACCTAGAGAAGTTACTTTACCATTTGTTGTAAAGCTGGTTTGGTGGTGCTGAATTCTCTTAGCTTTTGCTTGTCTGTAAAGCTTTTAATTTTTCTGTCAAATCTGAATGAGATCCTTGCTGGGTAGAGTAATCTTGGTTGTAGGTTTTTCTCCTTCATCATTTTAACTATGTCCTGCCACTCACTTCTGGCTTGCACGGTTTCTGCTGAAAGATCAGCTGTTAACCTTATGGGGATTCCTTTATGTGTTATTTGTTGTTTTTCCCTGGCTGCTTTTAATATTTGTTCTTTGTATTTAATTTTTGATAGTTTGATTAATATGTGTCTTGGTGTGTTTCCCCTTGGATTTATCCTGTATGGGATTCTCTGTGCTTCCTGGACTTGATCAACTATTTCCTTTCCCATATTAGAGGAGTTTTCAACTGTAATCTCTTCAAATATTTTCTTAGTCCCTTTCTTTTTCTCTTCTTCTTCTGGGACCCCTATAATTCGAATGTTGGTGTGTTTAATGTTTTGCAGAGGTCTCTGAGACTGTCCTCAATTCTTTTCATTCTTTTTTCTTTATTCTGCTCTGCAGTAGTTATTTAGTTATTTCCACTGTTTTATCTTCCAGGTCACTTATACGTTCTTCTGCCTCAGTTTTTCTGCTATTGATCCCTTCTAGAGAATTTTTAATTTCATATATTGTGTAGTTCATCACTGTTTGTTTGCTCTTTAGTTCTTCTAGGTCCTTGTTAAACTTTTCTTGTATTTTCTCCATTTTATTTCCAAGATTTTGGATCATCTTTACTATCATTATTCTGAATTCTTTTTCAGTTAGACTGCCTATTTCCTCTTCACTTGTGAGGTCTGGTGGGTTTTTACCTTGCTCCTTCATCTGCTGTGTGTTTCTCTGTCTTCTCATTTTGCTTATCTTACTGTATTTGGTGTCTCCTTTTCGCAGGCTGCTGCTTTGTAGTTCCCGTTGTTTTTAGTTTGTGTCTCCAGTGGCTAAGGTTTGTTCAGGTAGTTGTGTAAGCTTCCTGATATAGGGGACTAGTGCCTGTGTTCTGGTGGATGAGGCTGGATCTTGTCTTTCTGGTGGGCAGGTCCACGTCTGGTGGTGTGTTTTGGGGTGTCTGTGGCCTTATTATGATTTTAGGCAGCTGCTCTCTAATGGGTGGGGTTGTGTTCCTGTCTTGCTAGTTGTTTGGCATAGGGCATCCAGCACTGTAGCTTGCTGGTTGTTGAGTGGAGCTGGGTCTTGGTGTTGAGATGGAGATCTCTGGGAGATTTTCTCCTTTTGATATTACATGGATCTGGGAGGTCTCTTGTGGACCAGCGTCCTGAACTTGGCTCTCCCACCTCAGAGGCACAGCTCTGACACCTGGCTGGGCCACCAAGAGCCTGTCCTCCACAGAGGTCAGAATAAAAGGGAGAAAAAAAAGAAAGAAGAAGATAAAATAAAATAAAGTAAAGTTATTAAAATTAGAAAAAAAATTATTAAGAAAAAAATTTTTTTAATTCATTAAAAAAAACGGACAGACAGAACCCTAGCTTATTCTTACTTTTTCATTCCACACATTTAGTATTGCCTATACATTCAAGCTACTGTACCTTGAGCTGCAGGCACTGCAGTGAGCAATGCAAACATAAGAGCCTTAGTGTTCTTGCCCAAGAGCAGAGAAACGGATCCGGGGCCCCATAGGAGTGAATATGAGCAATACCAGTTACAGCCACAGGGGGCACCATGTCTTCCACATGGCACGCTTGCTTCCTCAGGACACATCTGTTCTGTGAATCTCTGGTCAGATCTCTCTTTTCCTGGTCCCTAAGCCCCTCAGTCATCTCTCCTTTCTGTGTATGAATACTTCCTGTAACCCTATAAATACCTGTAAAGATCTTGTATCTATAGATACTGTGTTTAAAGAAGATATTTGTGCTCCTTCCCTAACTGAATTAAAAACTCCTGGAACAGATCATTTATTAACATCTTTTTATGGCTCCAGGACCTTGTACTTATTTTGCATTTAATAAGGATTTTTTTAAAAAATTGACTTGCCTATAAAATGAAGAATTTTATATAAAATACTAAAAACAGTCAAGATAACATGAAAATATCAAAAACCAAATACAGATCTCTATATAACTCAACACTGGTTTCCTTTAAGCAGAATAGAACTTTCAGTTCACGTCCGTTTTTTCCCCCAATAACTGATAGTAGAGAAAAGCCATATTTGTTACACAAAGCTATTGCTTGGAAATAATCTACCTCATTTACATCAACAAAGGCCTTTCTACAAGACATGTGTTAAGACATGGGCATATTTCCATATTAGATCTTTTTTTAGCATCTGGTTTTGTGGAAGAGATTATTTCTGTGCTACACACTTTTTCCGCAAACCAATAACTGTTGATTTGCCAGTTGTCATGCGCCTGTTTATTCAGTGTGACATCGCTCAAAATATTAAACTCAAGGAAAAAGACAATCAGGGGCTTCCCTGGTGGTGCAGTGGTTGAGAGTCCGCCTGCCGATGCAGGGGACACGGGTTCGTGCCCTGGTCCAGGAAGATCCCACATGCCGCGGAGCAACTAAGCCCGTGAGCCATGGCCGCTGAGCCTGCGCGTCCGGAGCCTGTGCTCCGCAACGGGAGAGGCCACAGCAGTGAGAGGCCCGCGTACCGCAAAAAAAAAAAAAAAAAGAAAAAAAGACAATCAGATCACATGGTTAGTTGTCAAGGATAATAATAAGGTTCAGGTTCAGCACAACTGGCAGACAACTCACTGAAGATTTTTTTCTGTGTCAGAAATGAGCTAATGAAAGTTGCAAAAATGGCTAATAAGGCTGAGTTCTATCCCTCTTCAAATACTCTCATGTTGTAATAATTGGACTCTAGGCTGGAGGTCATTTAATAGGAGTTAACAGTGCTTGTAAAAAACCTGTCTCTAAAGAGTGGCTATTTTCTGATTTCCCTTAAAAAATGCAAATGAGGCCTAGAATTGACTGTGAATTTCTCATCTAGAAAGGACTGAGAGTGTTTAACTAGTCTAATCTCGGGGCCCAAATAGAAATCTAAAGGACAGGGAAATGGAATGTCCACTTTGAAAGAAGGCAGATGGTGCTTCTGTGGCTTTTGTGATTTTCCCACATCTTTGGCTCCTTCCCATCAAGCTGCACAGGAAATGATCTTGTTTGCATTCAATATTCCTCTAATGAATCGTGTGAGTGCTGTGTTATTTTCTGCCCAGTCCAGAGGCAAAAGGAAAATGCACATCTGGCTTGTAAATCACAACCAAGCATTGATGCTTTGCTTCCTTTTTATTGGGTGGCTGCCCTCTATGTTTTACACATTCTCAGTGTGGATTATGTGACACCCTGACAGAAACCTCCAGTGGCCCCTAAATGATTACCTGGGGGGCCCTTCAAATCCTCTGAAATGTAACGTTTGCTACCTGATGTGCATTGTCTGTGGTCCCCAGAGGGGGGAAGAAAATTCATTTTTATCTTTTTATTTATTTATTTTTCCTCTTTAGAAATTGGCCCCTGGTTGCAGGAGTTCAGAGCGAAGAATGCTGTGGATTTCTCGCAGTTAACATTTGACCCAGGACAGAAAGAACTTCTTGTAGGAGCAAGGTGAGAGAGCTTACATTTTGCCTCCGCAGATATTTTCGGACTTCATTTGACATCTCTGCAGTTACACAAGCTTCTCTGCCGTAGTTGACGAGTGCTAAGTAATATTTAATCTAAGAATGAAATTCCGTACGAGTATCATGAAGTGTGCTACAACTGCTGCTGTGATGACTGCAGTAAGATGACTGCTGCTCTTCATAGCAGGAGTTTATTGGGTGTTTCCCAAGTGCCAGGAGCAGTTCTAACATGAATTCATTTATTTTTTCCACCTGTGAAACCTGAGAGGTAGGTATTGTCACCATCCCTATTTTAGAGATGAGGAAATTGAGACAGAAGGTGGATAAATGTTACCCCAGGGACACATTTATTATGTTTAATCAAAGATGGACCCAGGTTTCAGTCAAAGTTTGACTCCAAAAACCATGTTCTTATTTGTCAGTATACTCTTCCTCATAATTCTAGACATCAGGAGACCTTGATACCCATTCCAACACGCATCACTACCTTTCTTTGTGACCCCCATTATGATATTTACCAGTCAATTGAGAATTCAAGGGAGTTGCTATTATTTATTTCTCTTAAGGAGCACGTGCTCCTGTCTCCAGGTCAGTGCCTGACCTTCCAGTTTGAAGGTGAGGCCACTGGAACCCAATCAGAACAGATCTTGTGTTGCATCCCTCGTATTTACCATGACTTCCTTAGAAAACATGTGTAATCCCTGCCTTCCAATCACCTATCCTGCCAGTGTGTTTTGAGGACGATGTTTAAAAAATATTTTATGTTCATCTCTTAGGAAAAATGACGTAATAACCCAAAGAGATGATTTGTAGATTTTGGACTCTTCTGGCCTTCAAGGAAAGCACTTTAGGCAGAGGAGTGCACGTTATCTGTTTCGGCCAAATGTACTAGATTATGAAACATACTTTTCATAGCAAGAGAGGTTGTGCAATTTCTACGTGAGTGAAGCTAAATCTGGCTTAAGCTCTGGACAAACACTGAACAGTTTCTAGAATCACTGCCTTTGCTCTCAGATCTTAAGAAGACCTCGTTCATCCACCCAACACTTGAAGACTCAAGACGTACGGTCATAACTTAAATGAACAGACAGAAGTCGGTTTAGTTCCTGGCACTTAACATGTCACTTGTATCTCTTTTAGTGTTTATTGATTGGACAGTGAGTATGGATTGGATGGGCTTACTTGGTACTCTTATACTTAACTTCAGCTCATTGGGACTAGCTGGGGGATTTCTAATGCTGACTTCCATCAAATTCCATCACTGGGAGCCTGGGCCACGCACTGCAGGGCTTTTTTTTTTTTTTTTGCGGTACGCAGGCCTCTCACTGCCGTGGCCTCTCCCGTTGCGGAGCACAGGCTCCGGACGCGCAGGCTCAGCGGCCATGGCTCACGGGCCCAGCAGCTCCACGGCATGCGGGATCTTCCCAGACCGGAACATGAACCCGTGTCCCCTGCATCGGCAGGCGGACTCTCAACAACTGTGCCACCAGGGAAGCCCTGCAGGGCTTTTTAACTGGTCTCCTGGCCTCCAGATTTTCTCCTCCTTCTGCATACCATGGCCAAAGTCATCTTTTAAAAATACAACCCTCAGTAGCTCCTACCGGAGCTCTTATGACTTGTATGCCTTCCCTTATGTTATAGAAATACTATTTTCTCCAGGGATCATCTGGATTAATTTGGATTTATTAGGCTCTTTTGGTGTGGCCCATCAGACCCTCTGTCTCATCGTCCTACATCCTATAGAGACACACTTTTCATTCTCACATAGTCCAGGCACGAGGAATTATTTATGTTGCCCACAACTATAGAATGTTCTCCTTCTTGCCTCTGGGATTTGGTAATCTCTTTTGCTTTCCTAGAATATTAGCTAACCACCCACCCACATCTCAAGTTATCCACTGGGTGAACTCCTACTCATTGTAAAGATCTGGCTCAAGTCCTCCTTTGGGACTGAGCTGCTATGTTCCCTGCTCTGTACGGTTCTGTTGGCACACCTGCCATCTCTCTTCATTACTGCACTTATTGCATTATTTCTGTTCACGTTTCACTCTCCCCTTTCCCATTCTCAGATAGTGACGTACCAGATGGTAGAGGATGTGGCTGTCTTTTCTTGTTTTCTCTAAAATGTAGCATACTTTCTCCTCCGGGCAGAAGCTCAAAGATATCTGTTGATTCACCATATTTATTTCCAGGATTTGATTTCTATGTGTGACCCTCTGAATTTGGTAGGACACTTAGGGGAAGGGGGGGCTGGAGTCGTAGCAGATTTATTCCCGATGCCTACAGTTGGGGAAGACACAGGGAGTAGCAGTCTCTAAACCCCAAAGCTAATCCTTAGGGAAAACAGACTCTCACCCTTAGCCAAGGGGAAGGGCCCCCTGCTGGGGTAGCAGGTGCAACTATGACCTCACCTGGTGTAGCTGAGTCCTGCATGTCTCATTCAACTCTAAAGAGTTTTGGAAACAGTTTTCCTGTGAGCTTGACTCAAAAGACACTCCATTGCTTCTGGAGGTCCTTGGCACTACACAAACAGGGCAGTGTCACATATATGCCTACACTCTGCTGGTGGTAGGCTTTTGGTTAGTGACACAGATTCTCCTAATGGGGAAGTGAGAAGCCACTGAGAAAATGAAGATTTGGAAGAGACATCACTGTAGTTCTGTCCTGACTGCAGACAGCACCTGAGAACTGTCCCCAGGGGACACCTATTCCTGAGAGTCTCCAGCCCAGTATCCCCAGAGGGCTCCATTCTATTATTCCTTGAGGCCTCCATCCCAGCCTCCCTGGAGGTCTCCATCCCAGTGTCCCCGGAAGTCTCTATCCCAGCATTCCTGGAAGTCTCCAGCCCAGAGTTTCTTAAGGTCTCCATCCATCTCATTTCACCACAGTCCCAGACCAGCCATGGGAGGGATTGTACCCACTGAGTCAACCTAGCTTGCACTATGGCATAGTGACCAGGAGCAATATAGGATCACCAGACTTAGCACATAAAAGTTCAGGATGTGCAGTTAAACTTGAATTTCAGATAAGCAACCCTAGGAGCATGGGCTGTATTTCTATTCTAGAACAGGACGTGGTACATTGTGGATACTCAGTAACAAAACGAAAGAAAGGGGTAGATGGACTTGCTTAACTGCATGACCTTGAGCCCATTTCGGAGTCTAATTTTCTTATCTTTAAAGTTGATATAATTATTTCTACCCCTTTCAGCTGTTGTGAGTATTAAGTGAAATAATCCAGGAAGAGAGATTGTCACAATGACAGGCATCCTGTAAGCATGGCATGGTGGGGCAGCTGTGTGGGTATCTGTGGGTTTCTGCATGCGTGTGCATATGCATTTCGGGCAGATACCACTGAGTGCGGAGAATAGCAATTTTACATAAGATAGTTGCTGGGATTAGGCTCAGAAGGTTTGAGAGGGAGTGTGAGCCAGTTATACAACTTTAAAAATAACCCAGCACTCAGATTCCTGTTTAGGAGGGCTTGACCTAGCAAAACAAATTTAGATAGCAGGTGTATATTGCAGAAATCCGTAATGGTTTAAATATATGAGCAGTGGAAAAATACAGTGATAGCATTTTTGTTTTTTCATAGTTAGCACTAGGCCTTGTAAAGCCATTTATTGGATGGTTTCACTTTATACCAGAGATACTTTATGTTCCTGAAATTAAAATCAGTTAAAAATTCTTTGCAAAAAGAAGTTCTCCCGCTGCGAAACAAAGACAAAACAAAAACAAACAAACAAAACCAACCCAAAAGGCCACTTCTCTTTAGGTGATTTGTGGTTATGTAGTACCCGAAGGTAGTTGCATCTGAATTCACACAATTTCTGGAAGGATCCTTAAATTTACCATTTCCAAGGTGCACATAATCTTTCATATTATTTTAAAAGCATTGATATTCATATTCTGTTTTACCCATGCCTCTTTAAAAACTAATAATGTTTGTATTTTCAGTGATGAGACTCAGGCACTTTCATTTTAGAGAATGTAGAAAATACTGTAAAGCATAAAGAAAAAACACAATTTCAGAAATAATCACAGTTAACCTTTTCAGTAATATCCCCGCAGTATTTGATTTGTTTGTTTATACTATTGGAATAATAGTTCGTAGAGGATTTGTATACTTCTTTGTTAAAAGAACCCACTAAAAGAAGTTTCTACTTTATATATACATGAAAATTCCAAATGAAAGACTATGTTGACGTTTAGAGGTTTGTGTATAATTATAAAAGTAATGATAGTAATAATAGTTCACAAAGTTGATAAAAGTTTCACTTTCGTGGTGTATAGGACTGTAACAGCAGATCTGAGAGAGAGTGATGACATTTTATTCTCCAAATGAATCTGTCTTTAGTGTTTTGGGTTCAGTATATGCATGACAAGTGATTCTGTGCCGAATTCAAATGTTATTCCAAATGGCAACTAACTTGATCCATACACAAAGCAGTGTTTGACAATAGTCAGGGCATTTATAAATTAGCCATATTTTTGTAGTGTAAAGCTATACAATAGTAATGAAAAAAAGAGCTTCTCATCAAAGAGAAAGTGAGTTTCTTCCAGCTTTTCTGTTTATTTCTTGGCCTTTCTTCATTTTCTTCCTGTAAGTTGACTTCTGGTTATCTTACTCTTCTCTAACAAGCCTCAGTGTAATAGAAACATATCATTGAAGGGCATAGTCTTGCAACCTATGATATTTTAGGAAGGACACTCACCTGTGAGCTCTCACGCAAGTGCCTGTGAGTCCGGGAGGCTCACCCATCTGCCAGTGATTAAGGTGATGGGATTGAAGCTCATAGACCCAACACTGAGTCAGGTGAAAATCATAACTGATGACAAATCTAAGATTTATGTATGTCTTGGGAAATTTTTAATTTCAACTCTACTAAAATGGGAACATTATGAAGATATCAATTGAAAGGGTAGCAGGGATGCTGGTACCCATGTGAGTACCAGCCGAGAGCCATGTGTGTGCCTTGTACGGAAC